ATGACGACACATCTAAAGAAATGTATAATTCTTTCATGAAAGAGTATCTTGACTTGGGTCACATGGAAAAAAACCAACAATAAAATTCATAATAACCCACATTATTTAATTCCTCATCAATGTGTTTTCCGACCTCAAAGTACAACTACGAATCTTCGCGCCGTTTTTGAAGCATCGAGTACAACATCTTCACATGTTTCACTCAATGATCTCTTGATGGTAGTACCAACCATTCAAGAAGAGTTGTACTCAACATCGCTTACATAAATACGTAATTACTGCAGATATTGAGAAAATGTATCGTCAAGTTTTAATCGATGAAAAATATGGAAATTTTCATTTGATCCTTTGGAGAAAAACCGAAAGTGATCCCTTGCAAATTTTCAGGTTGAATACGGTCACTTATGGTACTTCGTCCGCTCCATTTTAGCAATTCGTTGCCATTTGAGCGATTTGTCCAAAGAGACTTGGCCTATTGGTGCCAAAGTTATAAGCAACGACTTCTATGTGGATGGTTTATTGACTGGACCTGCTGATTTGAAGAGTCTTCTCACAATTCGAGATGAAATCGCTACTATTCTCAGTTCAGCGGGATTAAATCTAACAAAACGGTTTTCTAATCATCCAGATTTCAATGAGACAACATGTAGTGAATAGTTGTTACACACGGATTCCGAGACTGCAAGGCCATTGGGAATTCATTGGGCATTGGGAAATTATAATGTACTGGTTAAAAACCCATCCTTCTTCTCTGGCCACATTTGTCTCAAATCGAGTTGCAGAAATTCAAAAATGGTCAGAAAAATGTATTTGGCGTCATGTGCCAAGGAAAAAGAATCCAGCCGATATTGTGTAGAGAGGATGCAATGTATATGAAATTAAATCATCGATATGGTTTGAAGGACCTACATTTTTGTTAGACGATGTGTCTAAATGGCCCGTTAACAAGCATTTCGAGTTGACTGAGGAGCAAAAACCATTGGAAATAAGAAAATCCAAAGTATTACTGACCTCAAATAGTAAGACAGATAACGAATGTTCAGAGAACTTTCTTTTGAAATTAATAAATGACCATTCTTCATATAAAAAAACTTCTCTGAGTGGTTTCATATGTTTTCCGATTTGTCTACAGCTCAAGAATTGAATTGGTCTCTTCTTGAATTAGTAGAGGAAGTTCAAAAAGAGAGTTTCTCATAGGAGATTTCTCAAATAAAAAAATCAATATGCTTAAAATCCAATATCCAGAAATTGACACCATTTATCCCCGATTTAAGTAAATGGACGCGGACGTTTTCTCTACTTAGAGTAGGTGGAAGACTGTTGAATGCGCAATTGGCCCATGATACAAAGTTTCCACTTTGTCAATATATTTAAATAATTTACATTTAAATAATTGCCATGCTGGTACGAAAGCCTTAGTTGCATTGTCTCGAGAGCAAATTTGACTTATCAATGCCAGATAAGAATGCAATCGAACAGTTCGGAATTGTATTCATTGTTTTCGCTACAAACCAAAGCTGATGACCCAAATAATGGGCAACATTCCCACTGATAGAGTGAGAGCTTTACGTCCATTTTTAATAATAGGCGTAGACTTCTGCGTTCCCGTAAATATTACTTTAAAAATAAGCGGAAGCATATAGCCGTCTTGGTTTGATTCACGTCCAAAGCGGTTCACTTAGAATTTGTATCTGATTCATCTTCTGATGCTTTTATTCTTTATTTTAAAGGGTTTCCCGCGAGGAGTGGGCTCCCCAAGAGGATCTACTGCGACAACGCGACGAATTTCGTGGGAGCCAGCAGAGAGCTGAGGGAGCTTCAGGAGAAGTTCCTAGCTGGCCGAGAAACCGTGGAGGAATACGCTGCCTCGGTAAACGTGCAGTTCCGAGGGCGCCTCAGTTCGGAGGGCTGTGGGAAGCTGCCGTAAAACAGGCGAAGTTCCTGCTTCTACGAGCTGTCGGCAAAGTGCTGCTGACACAAGAAGGGATGCTCACAGTGCTCGTAGAAGTAGAGGCGGTGCTAAACAGTCGCCCTATAACACCGCTGTCTCCAGACCCCAACGACGGAGAAGCTCTGACACCCGGGCACCTACTAATCGGAGCGGGTCTGCGTTCGCTGCTGCCAGAACAACAAGGAGAGGTACTGAAAGCGCTGGCAGATGCTCTCCGCTCTCAAGCAGAAGTTCCGGCGGCCTTGGTCGAGGTCGAGTTGGTATCTGTCTGTCCACCAGATTTTCGAAGAAAAAATGCTCCAAAAATACTTTTCAAATTATGAGGAACGAAAATTACAAAAATATTTCCAGCAGACGCTTGGGTCAATATGGCGGACAAGCGAATTTCTTTCCGTGACGGTATATATATATATATATATATATATGTCAGGGGAATGATTCGGGGACAGTAAGGAAAAATAAAAAAATTCTAACTTTTAATTAAATTTTGATTAAATTAGCACATATCACCCGATATCTGGGTAATATAATTAATATATTGCATTCTATCACGTTTTATATTCCTTCAGATTTGTCTGAGGACATCTCTTATATACCGAATCATTTCGGCCAATGTACCTGAAACACCCACTTAATATACAGCGATATGGGTTGCCACCACAATGTTATATTTATAATTTTTGTCTTGAGTTAAATTGACGCCGACAAAATTAAACGGGCTCGCCTTCGTTTATTTATGTTTTGGAAAAATGCAAAACACACATTCACGCTCACACAATCACGCTCACGTTCTTTGTCACAATCTGACCAACAACTATTGTTTGCGTCAAATACAAAAAAAACTGATTTTGGGAAACAAAATTATGGATTAACTCAAGTTTAGTAAAAACTCTTCATTTTTTTTAAATTCTTTCCAGAGGTTGGTATTTTTACCCCGATCCCGGGAAACTATTTGTTCTTGGGGACGGACCTGGGACCCCAGATTTTTTACTCAAAAGTCCGGGTTTAAGACCCGGTCTGGGTGCACTTAGCCGATATGGACAATATAGATATCGTTAGAAAGTTTCCGAAAATACCTGTCCAACAAGTGGTTACATGATAGTGCATCTGTATAACCCGATTCTAACCAGTTTATTAAAATTATGTTTCCAATAACAAAAAAAGGGTGTACTTCGCATAGCCGTCGTTAGATTACGAAAACATAAAATTTAGAAAACTTTGGCTCGCGTTAGCCGATGTGGGACTTACCCAGAGGAGAAAATCTAAAGCCCTGGCCGAAGGCCGTCTATTTACAAAAAGTGTCAAATTTTGGAAATCTTTGCTTCGCGTTAGCCGGTGTAGGACATACCCAGAGAAGAAAATTTCAAGCCCCGGCCAAAGGCCGGCTATTAAAAAAACTTTCAAATTTAGAAAACTTTTGTAATTCCCAAAAAAAGCTGAAGAATTATGTCACCAATTTTTGAAAAGGATTGTCGTAGCCATTCTAAAGATGTCATTATTATTTAATCCGAACTAGAACAAATGCTGTCCTTCATGCCTATTTTGTATTGCCGCATTAAATATATTGAAATTTAGTTCAAATATAAATAGTTTTAAATACATTCTATTCAACCTGTTTCTCTGAACATACCTCGATCTTACATTCATATATAACAATTTTTATATAGAACTAATTGTAGAGCTGAAAACAAGGAGATATTTTCCTCAACTATGGGGAACTTATCCCACCGTTCAAATAATTGTATTATAGGGTTGCACATGGTGAGTCCTGCCCCACTACTTGATATCTAACCAGTAAGGAAAGGCCAAAAGTCGGACGGACACCCTACACCACTGCTGTTATGTGCACAAAATTGCATTGGGTTATTTATAGCCTTCATTCGACCATATGTGTCAAATTTCATGCCTTTTGGGCTAATATTGCACATTTGGTACACAGTGCATCAAAAATCGGATGAAGATATATATTGGAACTATATCTAAATCACATCCGATTTCCACCAAATTTCATAGAGTTAATTCTTTGTGCACATCGGCTACATGTGCCAAATTTCATCCCGTTTGGGCTAATATTTAACAGGTTGTGCACAATAAGCCAAAAATTGGATGAAGATATATATGGGAGGTATATCTAAATCAGATCCGATTTTCACCAAATTTCATAGAGTTAATTCTTGGTGTATATCGGCTACATGTGCCAAATTTCATCCCATTTGGGATGATTCATATTACACAGGTTGTGCACAAAAAACCATAAATCGGATGAAGATATATATGGGAGCTATATCTGAATCTGATCTGATTATCGCCAATTTCAATAGGGTTCATCCTTGGACCAAACAAACATTGCTTGCAAAATTTCATCTCAATCGGATAAAAAATGCGACCTGCATTTTGTTCACAAAGATCGGATGAAAATATATATGGGAGCTATATCTAAATCTGATCCGATTATCACCAATTTCAATAGGGTTCATCCTTGGGCCAAACAAACATTGCTTGCAAAATTTCATCTTAATCGGATAATAAATGCGACCTGCATTTTGTTCACAAGAATACATGGACGGACGTTCATAAATCGACTCAAAAGTGATTCTATGAATATCCTCAAAAGTAACTATGGGTCTATCTCGAGTATTTCGACCTGTTATAAAAAAATGCACAAAGACATAATACCCTTACCACTATGTGGTGTAGGGTATAAAAATCTTACTCACTTTGTCACCAATTTTTGAAAAGGATTGTCGTAGCCATTCTAAAGATGTCATTATTATTTAATCCGAACTAGAACAAATGCTGTCCTTCATGCCTATTTTGTATTGCCGCATTAAATATATTGAAATTTAGTTCAAATATAAATAGTTTTAAATACATTCTATTCAACCTGTTTCTCTGAACATACCTCGATCTTACATTCATATATAACAATTTTTATATAGAACTAATTGTAGAGCTGAAAACAAGGAGATATTTTCCTCAACTATGGGGAACTTATCCCACCGTTCAAATGTGCCAAATTTCATCCCGTTTGGGCTAATATTTAACAGGTTGTGCACAATAAGCCAAAAATTGGATGAAGATATATATGGGAGGTATATCTAAATCAGATCCGATTTTCACCAAATTTCATAGAGTTAATTCTTGGTGTATATCGGCTACATGTGCCAAATTTCATCCCATTTGGGATGATTCATATTACACAGGTTGTGCACAAAAAACCATAAATCGGATGAAGATATATATGGGAGCTATATCTGAATCTGATCTGATTATCGCCAATTTCAATAGGGTTCATCCTTGGACCAAACAAACATTGCTTGCAAAATTTCATCTCAATCGGATAAAAAATGCGACCTGCATTTTGTTCACAAAGATCGGATGAAAATATATATGGGAGCTATATCTAAATCTGATCCGATTATCACCAATTTCAATAGGGTTCATCCTTGGGCCAAACAAACATTGCTTGCAAAATTTCATCTTAATCGGATAATAAATGCGACCTGCATTTTGTTCACAAGAATACATGGACGGACGTTCATAAATCGACTCAAAAGTGATTCTATGAATATCCTCAAAAGTAACTATGGGTCTATCTCGAGTATTTCGACCTGTTATAAAAAAATGCACAAAGACATAATACCCTTACCACTATGTGGTGTAGGGTATAAAAATCTTACTCACTTTGACATGCAAGAGGCATTTTCGGAAATTTTTCTTTGGCTCGACTCCTATACAATTGGTCGAAATAAAAAAAAAACTGGTGCCGTTGTATGGGGGCTGGACGATATCGTGGACCTATACAGACAATTCTCTTTCCGGGGCTAATGTGCCCACAGAGAAACTTTTGCATAAAATTTAGACCATTTCATTGGAAAAACGTAGCTAAATCAGTAAAATACAGAATATCTAGGAGTACCGTTGTATGGGGGCTATAGGCCATCGTGGACCACAAATAACCTTTTGTGTAGAATTTCAGACAGTTCCATTAAAAATGTAGATAAAATTATTAAAATAAGTAGATATCATGGACCTATGTAGACAAATCTCTTCTTTGTGAGTACTTTACCCCTGAAAGTACTCACAAAGAACTCTTTGTGTAGAATTTCAAACAATTAAATTGAATAATGTGGATAAAAAAATCAATAACCAGTAAAGAAAGTCCTAAAGTCGGGCGGGGCCGATTTTATGATACCCTACACCAATTTGCTAATTTAGTTGAGCTCCACTTAATAATTAAAAGTTTTTATGGGAGAATTCAATCATACACGCTATGATTATAATTTAAAATTCAAAGGACTAAATATGCCGAAGCATTTGTATCTTTTAAATTCTGAAATTAATTTGAAATCGGATAAAAATATATATGGGAACTATATCCAAATATGAACCGATCTCGATAAAATTTAGCAAAGGTATTTCTGAGCTGCATTTGATATATTTCCCCAAATATTGTTGTTACAGAGTGCATATTACGGCTGCGGAGGACAAAAATAACAAATCGGATGAACAATATATGCGGGAGCTATAGCTATATCTGAACCGATTTCTATAAAATTTGGCATACTTATTTTCAGGCCTAATTTGGTTGTATGTGCAAAATTCCATACTATTCGGGCTGATATTACACGTTTGGGGCACAATAAAAGGCAAATCGGACGAAGATATATATGGGAGCTATATCTAAATTTTTACCGATTATCTCCAATTTCAATAGGGTTCGTCCTTGGGCCAAACAAATGTTGTTTGCAAAATTTCATCTCAATCGGATAATAAATGCGACCTGCATTTTGTTCACAAGAATACATGGACAGACGGACTGACGTGCATAAATCAACTCAGAAAGTGATTCTATGCAGATCATCAAAAGGAACTATGGGTCTATCTCGTTTCCTTTTGCCTGTTACAAACAAATGAACAAAGCCATAGTATCCTGACCACCTTGTGGCGTAGGGTATAAAAATCCCGAATATCGGAGGTACCGTTATATAGGGGCTGTACGATATAGTCGGCCGATATAGCCCATAATCGAACTTAAAATTTTACGCTGATCAAGAATATATATTTTGTTGGATCTAAAGTTATTATTTCGATGAGGTACACACGGAATTACGAACTAAATATACCCTACTTACTTTTTATGGTGTTTGGTATAATAAGAAATGAAAAGTTTTTATACAGTACGAAAAATACAAAAAAGTTTTATTTGTATTGCTTTTTATTTACGCATATACATACATGTTGGAAAATACTTTTACTAAACTTGTACAAAAAAAAAATACTTTTTATTCATTTATATATTTTGAATGAAAATACTGATACTGATAGAATACATTTTTTTAAATATGGTTTTATATGTGTCTTACATATATTATTTAGTTTTTGAAGATATAAACTTCAAAAATACAAAAAAGTTTGATTTGTATTGCTTTTTATATAGGCATATACATACATGTTGGAAAATACTTTTACTAAACTTGTACAAAAAAAATACTAAAAAAATACTTTTTATTCATTTATATATTTTGAATGAAAATAGTGATACTGATAGAACACATTTTTTTTAAATATGGTTTTATATGTGTCTTACATATATTAGTTAGTTTTTGAAGATATAAACTTTTTTAAATGTGTACAAACACAGTTTACAAAATATTTGTTTGTCGCAATCGCGTTTATATACTAGAAATGTGCACTCGAATTTATCGTATATGTATTGACCAAGAATTGTTAACATTTTGTTAAATGTATTAACTGTTTATATCAATGTGTAAGAAAATGGAAAAAGGAAAATAGCAGCGTTATAAAATATATTCTTGTAGTCCGAAGGAGTTGAAAATTGTAATTTTGTTTAGCTAGGTTTTGTAAACACTGTTTTGCAGTGAATGTAGTTCATGTAATTTCCAAGGATTGAATGATTAGAGTTGAGTATATATAATCTGTAAATAGAAGGTAATTAGATTAATGTACAGAAAGAATATATTTTAATCAAATATATGTTGTTTTGTTCTATAAGTAAGTATGATTTTATCATTATGTTTAAGTAACTGTATATGTTTGAATATAAACCATTTTAAATTCATGCAGAAAGAGCTTTCGCTTTTTTAATGCAGAATAAACGTGAGGGAGGTGCCGGATAATCAAAAAAAAAAAATGTTTTCAAAAACACATAGTGTTTTAAAAATGAGGCATGTCTTTTATTGTAATTACCTAAGCAATATTTAGCAATAATTATAATTAACACCGCCACATTAGTGTCAAGTTTTATGCAGTGTTTGAAAACCAATTCTGTGGTACCGTACCTTAGCGTTCCGTGATGGGAAGAAAAGTTATGCTACACGTAGGTAAAGTACAAACAATAAAAAGTATTTATCGTTAATGTATATTTTGTACATTCGTTTGCAGATTGGACATTTTAAGCGCGTATATTACAAACATCGTATACCATTAGTAGTGTGTACTTTAAGAAACAATTATTGGTAGTGCACACCTTAGTGTTGCTTATAAAGGATACGTGTTATGTCAATTTGAAACATATGGAAGCAATGCCACAATTTTTAAGGTATCTAATGATGTACACTACGTTGTTTTATGTATAGGTTTCTGTAAAGAATAGTTTTGGTTAAACGATAAAATCATAGACTTTAATTATATTTTTGTATAACTGGTGTGGTTTATATATATAAATATATATTTCCTTAAAAATAAATTTTATACAATCTGGGAGATATTCCGAAGGATGATTAGAATAAAAAGCTTGGCTCAAATTTGAAGAATGTGACTTTATCAAACATTATTCACAAAAATCATCAAATCAATTCAAACTTTAAAATCAGCAAAGGATATTATGGAAAGTTATCCTTTGAGTAAAAATGCAATTTAGTGATAATACACAAATTGAAAACTATATAAATTTATGTGGATACTTACATAATTTACCATTTAGTTCTACTAAACATTTTCTTTCGAGCAAACTCCACATGTGTTTGTTTTCTAAAGATTATTCCAATAAAAATAATATGTGCTGAAACTGAACCGCAAAAATTATAATGAAATTAGTAAATATAAAATTAGTTTAAGGAATACACAAGCAATTTTATTTACCTCACTGTATTAAAAACTTTATTTACGGTTTAGAAGAGCGAAAAATTCTTCTTTGGTTGTCTATCCAGGCTTTAACCTGAGCCGGTTTTCTATTTCGGAGACTTCCGTAAATATTTATGACATTTTTGCATTCATTCAATGAAGGCAACTTTTCTAAGCTTAAAATATCTCCAAAAGCCGATGTTATTGCTTGTCTTTCGTCTTCAGACCATCTAGTGCGTTTTGTTTTTCCGAACGGAGAAGCTACGGGATATCAAAAAGTAGTAAGTTCATATCCCCTTAAAATGTTAGATGAACGAATTTGAGCGAGTTACTATTAACCTCATTATACCCTATATCAGGCAGTGGTAGGGACACTATCGAATTATGCATTAGCTTGTAGCATTCAAAAGGAATCGAGATGGACCCATGTTGCTTTAGGTGATATGAATAGGCCAAAAATTTGAGTCGATTTATACTTTCCGACCATCAGCGCTCAGCCTATAGAACGCATTCAACGCCCAATTCAGTTAAACATGTTGTTTTTGTTGAACATTGGTGGAGATTTGGATAAAGCGCTTTTATATTTTTTCAGACAATTTGATGTAGTTGATGCACAAAACGCTAAATGTATGTTCAATTTCATAGAAATTAGTAAATTGTCACGGAATTGGGTAATGAAATCGGTTCAGAGTTAGATACAGCCCCATATGAAAAATTAAATGAATCCATTACGCAACATTTATCCAATTAAAATTTTTAAAAGCTCTCATGCATACTTTCGATGCACTAAAAACACAATCTTTGTCCAATTTCGATATAGTCATAATGGTAGGTAGCGTGCCCATATATATTTTAATGTAGTCAATCTTAAGTATGGTCAAATTAGACGGCTCTTGTAGTAACTCGCACAAATTTATTCGGTTTTAAAGAAACAGAAGGGATATTTAGGTAAAGGAAGACTAAAGAAAAGTATTTCAATGTTTTTTATATACTTTTTTGCTAAAATTACTGCTACGTTTTTTTAACTTAGAAGAATTAGTATTTTTTGAAACTTCAATGGTTGATGATGTAGATGATATTTCTGATGTTGACGATTCATTAAGTAACCCTTCGTCTTCTATGGTATTATGAATTTCAATATCCTCCTCATTTATTTTATTTAGGGTCAAAGTTTGAACATCAATGTCCTTGATTGTATTGCAACCAGCAGCAGATAATAAAATTTTAGAGACTGTCGTTATTTCGGCCATTGGAACAGGCATTCGATATATGTTTTTATGTATGTCTTTATGATGGCCTAGGAAGTTGGCTAATCTGTCAACAGTAGCTTCTTGGACATTTAATAAGGACGTGTATGTGGCGATATGTTTCCTCAATTTTGTGCCTCTTAGATTGTCAGGCATGGAAGCTCCACATTCGTTTGCGTATTTTCTTAACAATGGGCACGCTCTGTAGTACATTTTTGACAAGTTTGATGTTGCTGGAGCGCTAAATATATATGGGTTCGAATTTTTTATACCAGCATTTTTGCGAAATTTTAAAATAAGTTGCACAGCCTTTATACACATCGGATCCAATAATACGCTGACTGTTCTTCCTAATTTGCCCCTCAATGATATTCTTACAAATTGTTTGGCAAATTGAATTGACTCCTCTGACATATTGTCAAGAAGACCTGCCTCCAAACAATTTGTAATTTCTTCTTTATTGGTAAAATTGTCAATAGTTATTCGTTCTATTTCTCCTGCTCTTCTCCTGTTAAACACCTGGATACATATTAAGGTTGTCTCAACGAGATTCTTCCAAGCGTTTAAATCAAATTTTTCCGTTAATACTGCAATTGAGTCCAGCATTTTTGATCTCAGAAAGTCGTATAGCTTTTTTATATCTTGTTTGTTTGGCAAATCATTTCTTTTGTTTCTTTTTTGATTATATTGGTCCTCGATCGCTTTTTTATTAATCTGAGTGGGGGTTTCCTCAGTCCAAAGGGACACAAAGTTGTCAAGAGACTTCATATCATCATTTTGTTGCTTGAT